CGCTGCCCCAGGAAACTGCTGCAGGGAAGCAGCTGCGGGGAAACTGACTGTCTGTTTGGTACAACTGTGTGAAAACAGCTGTGGAGCAACTATTTTTGAAGAAATGACCATGTTGCCCTTGTTTGTTAAAATTGTTTAAAAGAGCTGTAATAGGTACATTTTTGAAACTTCTGAAGCGAAAATTCATTTTTAAACATAACTTAAAGTTCATATACCCTCACTTCTAAAAAAAGATTTCGTGAAAGTTTAAATGATAGATATGTAAATCAATAAAAATCGAATAAAATGCACTAAATCCCTCTCTTTTTTTTTATGCACTGGCTATGTAAAACAGTAAAAAATTTGATATAAATTATGAATGTTTAGGTGGTAGGCACATAAAAATATATAAAAAAAAAAATTTAACAGTGAAAAGGTTTCGTGACCTTCTTTTGTTGTTAAAGGTGGAGTAGCAGAGAGATGGGAGCTTTGGTGATCCTTGCACCGGTGATTCTTGCACGCCGTAATATAGTTGTTGGTCCTTCTGGTGGTCAGAGTTTTGGCAAAGCTTGCCGGAGAGTGGTGAAGAGCTTGGTTTCGGTCGGGAAAGGTGACGAGAAGTTGCTGTGACGGAAGAGGACAAAGGCTGTGGTCGGTTCTCGACAAGGGGGGCTTAGAAGTTGTGGAGTTTGGGAATCAGAGAGGAATCACAGGCGTTTCTTCGGTTGGGGAAGATACGCCACGGAGAGGCTCCCGATTTCGGTTAGGGCAGGGTCGGGAGGAAGGAACGACTTAACACACGCGACAGTGAGGATGGGGATGGTGAGAGCATCAACGTCAAGGGGTATAATGGACTCCTGCTATGAACATCTGCTCCGCGAACGCGACCCGCGGGAATCCGCTGCGTGCGTTCGGCCATATTCGCGTCCCGCCGTGAACGGGATGCCAAACCAAACAAGAAAATTTTGCGTCTCGCTGTCGCGACGCAGTGCGAACGTGTTCCCAAACAGACCCTTAATCAACATAGTGTGATGCTGGAATTAAAACGATCCCTGAATGAATCAGATATAAGTGAATAAGGCATAACATTTAGTCCAAGCCTATCGAGTCAATGAACACGTTTCATCCATCTCAAGCTAGTATTATGCTCATGAGCAACACCAAGCTCAAAGTAAGGTGGCAGTTGCATAAACCTAGCAAGTGTATGACTATTTCATCTTCTAGCTGATCGTATAGTGCAAGGATAAAATTAAAAAAAAAAAATTCCAACATTCTACATACGAATACATAGTGATCATATTATGCACGAACTTCCACAAATGAAACCAAGCCCTTCACATGTTTGCACGAATATCTTTTTTATTCTCTTTTTTTTTTTAACCAGAATCAACAAGGTTCCAAATTCCTCAAACAAGAGCAGCGTTAGCCTTCGTGTTTTTAGACTTTTCATGAATCAAGATGTATGTCATTAAACATCACAAACAGAGCTAGTGAAGCATTAACATGAACATTCCTTCCCTTTCTTATTATTATCTTTTTTACGTGACGGCCATTGGAATGGAGCATAGAAAAAGGAATAAGGGTAAGGAGAAAAGGAAGAAGAAGGGACCTCGTTTTTTGTTGTTCAAGTGAAACAGAGAAAACCAACCACCAAGAAAGCTAGGGAAGAACCAACCAAGAAGAAAGAAATACCCAGAATTTTGGCAGCACCTCCCCCTTTTCCAGAATTTCAACCAACCAGAAATGCCTCCCCAAATGGGGTTTTTATAGGCAAGGAAGGAAGACACCCCACCTACCAGCCCCCAGGGTGGTCGAATAAGGCGACGAGAGAAGAAGAATCGCATTTAGGAAGGAGGAAATGCAGCCTCGAGAAGGGTCGGACAGGAGGCAGGCTCGCGATTGGCGAGCCGTTCGGTCGAGCGAGGCTCGAGGGGGCGAGGCGTGCGGCTGGACCTAGTGAGGAGAGGGAGGCGAGTCACATCTGGGTCGCGAACGGGAGAGGAGCGCGGCAGCTAGGGCTTCGCTCGGGCGGCCTTGGGTGTAGCCGATCGCGGGAGAGGAGGCTAGCCCTCTCGTGCGAACCCATAAGCTAGGGCACGGGGAGAAGTGTCGACCGAAGAAGAGGGGGAGCGAGTCAGGTGTGTGATTTAGGAGGAAAAATGAAATGTCTTTTTTTATTTATTAATTTTATAGTATTTAATATTAAAATCTCCCAATCCGTGCATTTTTCGCTTGTGCATAAAATCATAGCAAAATGGATGTCTTCCCCAGGTAAAATCGACGTCCCGGACGCACCGGCGCAGTCTGTTTCGTCATCCGGGGTCGTCTGTGCAAGTTCATCTTTGCGTGTGATTTGCTCATATGCGAAATTATAGTAATATGAGTGTTCTCTCTAGATAAAATTGACGTTCTGAATGCGTCGACGCAGTCCGTTTCGTTATTCGGGGTCGTCCGGACAACCTCGTCGATGATCGTATCAAAATTGTGTCAAATTTGATTTGTGTTCAAATTTCGGGTTCTTGATCGGTTATTTCAAAAATTAACTTATGGTTTGATTAATTGTGAAACCTTTACAGGTGCAAGTGACGCGAACTATGATATTTGTGTGTGCGAATGTATTAAAGTCATTATGGGTGTCCTAAGACTTTTAAACCCTATAGGAACTCTACTCGGGCTCCAACGTATTGGTCCTAACCACTCAACCCAGTGGTGATGGTACATGTTCTTAGCCACTCAACCAGGTGGTGATAGCTCAAAATCATAACCACTCGACCAAATGGGGATGGCTTGGGACCACCATTGCGAGGCTTCGCAAAAGAGTTAAGAGATGGTTTGAGTTTCTAAATGGTGTGGGTCCCGACACCAGTCCTTTTAAGATAGTCGATAGGAAAGTCCTATGGCTAGATTCTAAACTCTATGAAGAGGAAACAAAGGCCTCACAAAAATGAGGTCAACACCTGTGCAACCCAGTCCCAATGGATCCTAATGACAAAGTTCTTGATGTTCCCATTGCATTTCCCGTGAACAAGACTCACTACTAGAGCCTTGTACACAAAGAACATTCCTTGGACACTGTTCAACTATTTCAAATCCAAGTTGAATATGACTGACATTTATGCTTCAACTTGAGAGAGAGTATAATAATATCTATTAATGCCTAGTTTTAGCCATTATTAATTTCTATTTATGCTTAGTTATTAGGTTAGATTCTCTATTATTCTTTTCTTTTTTTCTATTGTATCCTGTTTTTACTTCTTTCTTTATTAGTAGATCTTGTAATGAGTATTTATAATCCTCTTTGCATCAATAAGAATATAGCTGGTTCTATTCTAAAATTCACCGTTTTAAGATGAAATGGTATTTTCGAATGGTGGATTTCATACTAAGAGAATGAGAGGATAGATATGGCACGGTAGGATCAGTTAAGCTTATCAGGACTTATGTAGGATCAGTTAAGCTTATCAGGACTTATGTAAAGTGTTTGACAAAAGTTTCATTTTACAATTTTTTTAAATTTAAAAAACTGAAGTTGAAAATTGAAAATGAGTCTGGTTCATAAGATCCAAAGGGAAAAGGCTCTAAAGGTTAATTACAATCTTTAAACAACTCCAATAGACCTTGGTAAAAGAAATAATACTTGTTTAGGTTCAGCCTTAGTGTATCAAATCAAAAACCACTATAAAAATCTAGTGGATTGAATTGGCTTAAAAAGGGTTATTAGGTTTAAGTGAGGAATTCAAACAAGCTAGACATGGCCTGTAAAGATTTTATGAATAATTCTCAAACTGTGTCTGGATGGCGATATAATGTGATAATATGAGAAATGCTAAGCGGAGTAATCTCAACTCATTTGGTGAATCTCAAGAGTCAAAATAAAGATATTTTGCACACACACACACACACACTCACACTCACACTCACACATCAATATACATGTGTATGCGCGCGCGCGCGCACACACAGATATATATATATATATGCACATATATATATACATATACATATATATACATATACATATACATAATATATATATATATATATTAAAAAACCTAAATATATATGCACGCCTATATATACACATACATATATATGTAGAAAGGTGGAGAAACGATATTCTCTTATATTGTATGTGGGCCGGCTAGGGCAAATTTAAGTAAGAACATTATAACTTACGAACTATAAAACAAGCAAAGAATGAAAACATACAACATATTCTCAATCACCTACCACTTATCTAATTAATAAAATATATGGCGTCGGCAGCTGGCTTTGCTAGGGTTTCACTCATTGGCGATTCCCAACGGTGATTCGTTGTTTTGTCACTTTCTCTCCGTCGTCTTCCGCAACGATGTTTTCATGCCCTCGCAGCTTTCTTGATGACACTCGCTCGCAGAGGTTTTTGTCGTTGACGCTCGCTCGCATCGTCTCTATAATCAACGACGTCACCCGCAGTCGACGATGCTTGCCCCAATAGTCGCGGCTCGTGTCGTCTCTACTCTAATAAGAAAAAATGTTGAATCAACATTCTTGTGGTCATCATTGATACGATCCAGTCTATAGACTTTATTTTAGTTAGCTCGGTCATCACATCGAACTGCTCATATTTATGAATTGCAAGAACTGTCTAGTGTGACCGGTCATGTAATATAGCTTATTTAATTGGCACTCAGAAGTTAAGAATAATTTATATCTTGGTCATGTTAAATGCTGCTTTTCATTCATAACGTTGTAGGGTCAGGGGTTATATATTCAAAGCTGGATATTTTGGGAAACTGCTGCGGTTGATACTGCTAGATTTAAATAGATTTTATTACTTACGGCATTGTTTTGTAATTGTTTCAAAATCTATTCATAGTGCTGGCATTGATTAATTACAGGCATTATTATGTGCATAGTTAATTTTTTAGTAGATTGCAAATGATTCACTGTTTTTTCTGTATCTTTTAGCATGCATTAAATCAGTAAAATACTCGTCTTTTGTGCAACAGAGCAGTTTTTGATTATTTTCATGATCGCAGGTTACATTGTTGAATGAAGATGGGGCCATACTGAGCAGCAAGTATTTTAAATCTCTTGCATGCTTGGAGACCGGGAAAAACTGTGAATTTCCCAACTACCTTGTTGAGATTTGTGAAAGACGGGCTTCTGTAGTTGGACAAGGAAAACATGTTATTGGAAGTCATGCAATAGAATTCGGTGGGAATTTGCGAGTATAGTTGCAGTTTTTAGTTTTAGTCACTTGAAACATCCATATAATTTCTTTTAATTTTTTTTTTTGGATAAATTGATGCATGCCAACAATCTGGATTTTAAATTTTATTGGTTTATACAGAGGGCCATAACGATGTTGGCTCCTTATGTCAAGATCTTCCGATGAAGGATTCTTTGAGTCAAGTTTTACCTTCGAAACCTGAAAGATGTGGCAAACTGGTTACTTCTATTAAACGTCGCAAGATTCCAATCTGCAATGGTTCGTTTACCCTGCCCTCGATATTATAGTTAGCAATCATGTTATATATAAATATATTATGTCATGGTATATTCTTTCCAAGTCTTGTTTGTGCCTTGTCCTATTAACTGTGATTTTGGTTTATTCTTCAATCTTTTTTATTCATAAAATACAATTAGTTTGCTAGACTTCTATAAAAATGTTTTTAGTCTTGTGTGGAGTGTCAAAATACACAAATTATTTAAGGAATTTTACCCCCAGGACCATAACATGATCCTGTTTCTTGTTTAAGCATGCTACCCACTCGTCATAAAATCCACAGTTCCTTCTATTCGGAGCCTACTTTGTTAAAGCTTGGTTATAAAATGAGACCATTCTATTCATAAGCCTTTCCGTGCTTGTCAATGTCAATATGGTGATTGGATTGGCCAATCCACGCTAAATTCAATTTAAAACAACCTATTATAATGTGGACTAAATAAACTAACACAAAGCTAGAAAGCTTTAAATGTTTATTAAATTAGCAAACCAACACCACTTATGTAGCCTATCTAATTAGTAATCTGTGTTCGATGCTCTCACACCCCGGGTCTTGAAGTCATTACATCGATCATGACAAAATGGGATATGATTATGGTAACTCAATTCCTGAAATGAACTTCAAAATCTAATATCAATTAAAGTTGTTCCGTTTAAATTTGTTCTGTATTTGATGTGGAAAGCATAATGTAGTTGTAATTATAAGTAGAAATATATAAGCACAATAATATGTAAACAATTAAAATTTCATTGCATTAAAATAGTATTTATAATATTCTACTAGGGAAACAATAATAGCTAATAGAAAAGTAAATGAAAGAATAACTGCATATGTAGCAACTACCCTATTTTAATTCCAAGTAAAAATTACAACATTAAATTTAAATATTGAATGAAATAACACTAATAATCGGTTTTAATTTTTATAAAAAAAATTGTTGTTCGAAAACAATCACCTCGTGTATGACTTAAACAAAAGGCTCTCGTTTCCCTCATCCTTTTGAACCCAAGCATAAGAGAAAGTTAGAGGGAGCGAGAGAAAGAGAGAGCATGAGAGACAAAGGAAGAAGAAGAAACAGTAATAGGATAAGGAGAAGAAGAAGCAGCTACAAAAAAAGAAGAGGAAGGAAGAGGGGATTTGACTGCTAGGAACGAAGCCGACGGAGGAGACGCTGTCGACCAAATGGAGGTGAAGAAACAACTTCGACGGTTTCCAAGTGGAAGAAGACCAACCCCAACCGAAGGAAGGAGCCGTTTCTCTTGCAGGGAGAGGGAAACCTATTGAAGGGCTCTACATGCGAGGAATCCAGTGCCCTAGCCAAGGAAGAAGAAGAAGAAGGGGAAGCAAAAATGAAGAGTGGATGACTATATGTGCTGAATTGAACAGAAGAGAGCTAGCTCGTGCATGCGATACGAAGCTCATGTATAAGAGATATCGGGCGACCGAAGAAATTTTAGGTAAGATTGGGTTTATATTAGTATTTAATTAATGAATTATATTTATATAGAATATTTGAAATCATGAAGTATTTGAGATACAACTTCGAGATCGAGGAGTGATTACCTTGAAGGATAATGTATAAGATAATCGAAATTTAAGTTTGATTTATTTAATTTAGATTTAATGTTATTGAAATATTAATATTATATTATATTAAATTATAACAGCTATTAAGACCAAAGAGCATTGATCCTAAAAAGTTTGATCATATGAAGTCAGTGGGATAATTAAGCTTGAGTCGAGATGGTAATTATATTTTTAAATTTTAGTAATTTTTATTATTTTTAAATGGATGCTTGATTGCATTTATGCTATGTTCAGTAAAATTTAGATTATAATAAATTCTTCATTTTGTTCGATTGAAAAAATATACATATTAAACAGTTGCATTATAATTTTTTTAATAAGAGGTTTTATGACCATCATATATCAATTTATTGCATGACCTATAAATTTAGTAAATATGCATTTTATTGGTAGATAAAGATAAATTATCTCATAAGTTGTTTCATATGAATGTATGATATTAAGAATAAAGTAATATATCTGTGAAGGCTTGTATGTGCATGTTTAAGAGAAGTTTACTCTTTTATGGTACAGGCAAGGGCAAGGAATGTACCTGCATGTGTAGATGTTATTCTACCATCGCTAATAATTATGATGTTTAGATCGCTAACCGCTGAACTGATAAGAGATCATCAACCAATGACTACTAGACTCATTTTCACCTCAGACAATCGTGTAAATTATATTATGAATTGCTGTGCTGATAGGATGATATCAACCAGATGTATGTTATGTTATGTTTTGATGTTGTTCTTAAGATATATGTGATGTTAATATCATGAAGTAAAAGTAAAGCTAAAGATTAAACATTGAAACATACAGTTAAAGTTAATGCATATCAAAGTTTTAGTTATTTCCATTGAATAAATGTCACAGGTACATGTATTATATTATTATATGATTTTTTATAGTGAAATATGAAATATCGACATGCATATTATTTTTTTTCTTAGGTTACTGTAGTTTAAGAGTGTGATTACTACTGTGTTATTTTAGATAACTCATTATGCAATTTTAATATTTTTTTTGAGGTTTAAGTTTTTGATTAAAATGTATACTAGAGGAGAAAATGCTTATAGAAGGCAAGGTCAACGACTAGAAATGTAACTTTTTATTTGGTCAATTAAATTTCTTTCTTTAGCGGTTCTTTCATGAATATTTCAATATTAAACTGTTATTGATAGAAATCAACTTATAGAAAATTTAATTCCACTATCGAATGCTTCATTCTCGCCTTAGTTAATTTCAAGCTTTGGGCTGGGTCATGACTATAACTATAGTTGAAAGGTTTGTTATTGCAATGATGGTGCACCCACCAATTTAATTGAATTTGTTATAAGAAAACTTTTACCATAAACAATTTTGACATTGAAGCTATTTAACTAACTCTTAGTTGTTAAAAAATAACTTGTAATGTATAGGGCATCTAATAATAAATGAGACATGATTTACAATATAATAGCATTACGAATATTATTATATAAATGTGTGTATATGTTTAGGTATATCCAAAGATGATTTATATCTTTTGTATTACGTCATCTTTTATTTGTATACATTTTTAATTACTTTTATTAAGACATATTGAACCAGGAACTTATGCACCAATCTATAACGCTCAGTTTCAAAAGATTAAGAAAGTGGAATAAAGTGTTTCGTACATTGGAGACAGAAATGAAGCGCCAAGATGCAAAATTTAAATAAAGACAAAAGGAGGAAGAAATAAGAGAAGCAGAGAAGAGGGCGAGATAGGTTGAGAAGAAGAAAAGAAGTCTTGTGTGTAAAGCTAGCGGCGAACTAATAAGGCAGAGGGAGGTGTTTGACTTGGAGGCATAGAGGAAGAAAGGATAAGATACATATCGATGCCGAAGTCTAGCAAGGGAAGGCTGAACACGTGCACTATAGAAGGAAAATGATGCTTGTGTTGCAGTGAAGGTGAGCTACTGTCGCAGTGAAGGTGAGCTGCCGTTTCAGTGAAGGTCCCTATTTCTCACATATGGGAGGTTTGATTTCGTTCAGGTGAAAAAAGAGGAGCGTCGGGCAGGACAAACAGATATGAGGTGAGGAAGGGAGGCTGTCACGTGCGGCCTTGTTCGAGGGAGATGCATTTAGATTCTGTCCGATGAAGAGCAGGGAGGAAGCTCTGCGTGCGGCTCTGGCATGAGGAGGAAGAAAAGGTGAGAGAGGCAGTCGAACCCTAGCCTAACAATGTGAAAGATGAGGGCCTCACGAGCATGGTTGAAGTTTTGCTTGTGCGAAGAGGATTAGAGAAGTTGGGGCGAAGCAAACAGAAGCGAGGTTAAATTGTTTCTGCGAGCTGGGTCAAATTTTATGTGCAGGAGATGAACCGAATGAGGTTTGCGTGGTTCATTTTTTTAGATTTATTAATTAATTGAAAATATTTTAAGGGTTAATCATCCTGAGGTAAATTTTAAGTAATTTTTTATATATAGTGAATAACAAAATAAAATTAATTAGGATTTACATAAAGAAGTAAAATAGTGAAACTTTAATACTTGAATAATTTGACATCAATATTTAAATAGATTAATATAAATAAACAAGTAAAGATTAATTAACCACAGTGAATTAATATAATTAAATTTTATTTAAACGAATACATATGTCTATTATAGGCATCAAATTAAAGGAGTTGAGGTCTAAGACAAATCTAAGAACAAATCAATTGAAATTAAGATGAGTGCTCTTACTTTTAAGATATAGTTGCTTTTAGTTCTTTTAAAATGAATTCAAGATTGTTATTGAAATTTGGTCATATCATTATGATAGATATATATATTTTAAAATTCTAATGTCAGTTATACATTATTTAAATGTAAAATTGAATGAAAGAACATATGAATGATATGAACTGCATTGACTGATTGTATGTGCATGTTTAGCTACGATGAAGTTCATATTTTTTTGGTATTAGCGTGAGAATGCTAAGGTACCTATACATGTAAATGAAAAAAATATTGTTATTGATGTACCTTTATTAATACAATTTTAGATGTTCATTGTACATATATAAAATGATATAGATTTGTTACTGATATAGTAAAATACATTAAATGTTATGAACTATCGCGACGATCATATCTGACAAAGTATTTTGACTATCGTGCATATTGTTCCCTTTTTGTTATTTTATTATAATTTTGTAGTATGAGTATTCACCGACCTTTTAGCTTATTGTTGTTTTAAACTAACACAACAGGTTTAATCATTTGTTTAAAAAATGAAAGGAAATGTATGTAGAAGATGTGAACAACCTGAATTAAGATGAAATTTTAATAGTATTACTTTAATTTACTTTTTTCAGTGGTTTTTTCATTAAATTTGAATTATAAATGATTAATAATAAGAAATGAATGATATAAAAACATAATTATCACCTTCCGACCGTCTGCTC